AGAACTGGTGCGAGAACTGATACTGGCAATGTAAAAGCGCCTACCGGAAAGGTGCTACAAAAAATAAAATTAAAATATGATAAATCTTAGAAAAATGAGTAGGTTCAGAATCCTATGTTTGGGATTGAAATGCTAAGCGTAGCAATTAGTGCTAATACAGTGCGATTAAGTTTAACCGACTATAAATAGGAAGTTACACACAACCCTAGGCTGATTTAATCAGCTCTACGTGTCTTGTGTGTGCCTCCATTTCTGAACCTTTGGTTTCTCCACTTGCCACCTCCATTTTTCTTCAAGAACAAGCCCAAGTGATCACCTTTCTCCACTCTTTCTTCATCTAAACACCAAAGCCTTGTGTGAGTGGGCATTGTGAGGGTGTGAGAGTACCCCATCTTCCGTGTTTGGTCCTTGTGAGTGTTGGTTAGGGGCTGAGTTCTTGAACTCCATTGTGGGAGGCATTGCCTTGGATTTTTGAGCTTCAAGAAGCAATCATTGTGAAGAAAGAACCTTGCTTGTGGAGTATTTTCGTACTTCCTTAAAGTCAGAACTTGAGGAGCTGTTGTGAGAGCTCCAAGAGCCATTGTAGCTCTGTTTTGAAGCCTTGGGTAAGTGTTGAACTTTGATAATGAGTTTTAGTTGTTTAAAAGTTGAGTCTTGGCATGTTAAAAATGAATGCTTGGACGTAGTAATGGGTTAAAAATCCAGCCTTGGAAGTGATATCTTGCGAAATGCAGAAACTGCATTCTGTCGCGAAATATCCAGATATGGTATCCGGATATTGATATCCGGATATGATATTCGGATATGGCCCCGATATATATCCGGATATTCTGGGTTTTTGAGAACAGTAACGGTACTGTTCATACAGAATGTTATTTTGGGTTAGTGGACCCATGATTAGTTAATGGAGACTTCTGTAATAACTAATCTAAGTCAGAATCTAAGGGATTAAGGGCTTATGGCTTTGTGAGAAGCCTAAAGACATGAAACGTAAAGGAAATGCGTTGTATTTTGTCGTATGCTTGTAGAGTATGAATATTGATATGATTGTTGGTCTAAAACAGATTGTGATATTGCTGTTTATGGACTTGAGCTTGTGTGGACTCTTGGCTTGGATAGTTATCTTGCAAGGTAAGCTTTCGTGTCCTCGGTTTAGCTATTGTTGGTTCCACCATGTCCCATGGGGGGATGGTTTATATGCATGATGTTGTTTTCATGTATTGATTTGTTGAAATGCTATTGAGCTGTTATGTGCGAGTGCTTTATGATATGCATGTGGTGTTCCACCTATACGGTAAGCCTGAGTATGTGGGGACATACAAGATGGTGAGGATGTGGGTGAGGTGCAAGCGATGTTCCTTGTACTATTGTGGGTTGTAGACATACGTACATCCTACATTTCTCTGGCCAGTAGAATAGTTTACAAACATGGCATGATTATCTGCTGCACTGCATTGATTTTGGAACTTATATTGTTAAACTGTTTTTAGAACTTATAGTGCACATGTAAAGTGATCTTGGGGTGGAGAAATCCTTGAGGACCCCTTGTCTTACTGAGATTTCTGTTTAAAGATCTCACCCTACGTTTGGGACACCATTTTCAGGCTCAGGTAACTCGGAGATTGAGACCTCGGGCGGCAGGAGGCCGGAGCTTAGTTGATTGAGGTTTATCTGCTTATGCTGACTATGCTTGGATGCTGGATTATGTCTGTTGCCATTATGTCATTAGCTTCATTTTATGGATTATTTTGATGTTATTGTTGTGACTCTGTTGGGCTTTGTTGCCTTATTTGGTGAGCATGGGGATTGTCCATGCCACATTGACTTGACTTTATGGTTTAGCTTGAGTTGTATAATTGTATCAGGATTATGTCCGGTCTACGTGTTGTAGTTCCGTGACTTAGATACTCACTTATTTATATATGAGGTTATTCAGTGTAGATAGCTGTTTATTTGCAATTACATACAGGCGATGTTTTATGAAAAGGAACTAAGTAATCAACTTGGTTAATATTAATGACGTCATAATTGAAAAGAAAAAGATATTCCGTATTTTTAATTAAGCGTCGCTTAATACGATGACATGTTAACAAACCGGGTATACACGGGGTGTTACAAAGCCGGAACTAGGTGAAGTTTTATTCATATATTTATTTGTTTCACAGGAGGCAGTTAGCTCGGTCCTTGTCCGAGAAGGAGAAGACGTCAACCAAAAGCTAGTTTACTTCATAAACAAAGTACTACAGGGGGCAGGGGTTCATTATCAGTATGTAGAAAAAGTGGCGTTGGCATTATTATAACAGTAAGGAGGCTTCGTCATTATTTTCAATGTCACCAAGTAGTAGTCAGGACCAATCAACCTATTAAGAAAATGTTGCAGAAGTCGAACTTAGTTGGGTGGATGGTCGCATGGGCAGTGGAATTGTCTGAGATTGGCATCAGTTTCGAAGCTCGAGTGGCAATAAAAGCACAGGCCTTGGCAGATTTTATGCTAGAAATGGCTCACCTCGGAAGAAAAGAAGTAGATGGTTGGTGGAAATTATTTGTGGACAGATCGTCAAATAAAAGAGGAAGCGGAGTGGGGATTATAATAGAAAACCTGGAAGGAGTAGCAGTGGAGCACTCGTTATCATTGGAGTTTTCGACAAGTAACAACTAAGCAGAATATGAAGCAATGATTGTAGGGTTGGTTCAAGAAAATGAACTCGGAGCTGAGTTTTTAGAAGTATATAGTGATTTGCAGCCGGTGATGTCACAGATAAGTGGAGTTTATCAGGCGAGATGAGAAGTCAAGATGAAGTATTTGGCAAGAGTGCAGGAGTTGATGAAGGAATTCAAAGAAGTCCGAGTATAGCATATTCAGAGAAATGATAATATAGGGACCATAATACAGTAGAGCATCCAGGCTTCAAGTATCATGTAGATGATAGGGGAAGGCAATTGAATGAATCCGATTATAGCTTTCTTGGAGAAAGGAGAATTACCAAAAGATAAGAAGGAAGCAATTAGAATGAGGAGGAAGGCGGCATGGTTTGTAATATTAGAAGGGCACTTGTATAGGAGGGGGTTTAACTCGCCGCTGTTGAAGTGTATAGCTTCACCAACTACCGAGTATGTGCTGGAAGAAATTCATGAAGCTATCAAAGGGCATCATCTTGGAGGGATTTCCTTAGCACGAAAAGCTATCCGGGCAGGTTACTTTTGGCCAATTATGGGGGAGGACGCAAGAAGACATGTTCAAAGGTGTGACCAATGTCAGAAATTTTTTAATGTATACAAAGCTCCCCCCAGAAGAGTTGTTTACAATCTTTTCTCCATGGCCCTTTTATAAGTGGGGAATGGACCTTTTAGGCCCATTTCCCAAAGCAACAGGCGAAGTTAAATATTTGATTGTGGCAACTGATTACTTTACAAAGTGGATAGAGGTGAAACCCGTGGCAAGTATCACTACTCGGAAGATCCAAAAGTTCTTTTTTGCGAAGATTGTCTGTAGGTTTGGTATACCTGCAATAATTATTACTGATAATGGAACTCAGTTCATAGACAGGAAGTTCCGACAAGAGGTAGCTGAGTTAGGAGTAAAGCATCATTTCGCAGCAGTAGAGCATCCCCAGACAAACGTGCAGGTGGAGTCAGCTAACAAAATTCTGACAAATGGCTTAAAAAGAGAGTTGAGGGGTGTAAGGGGAAATGGTTAGAAGAGTTAGATAACGTGTTGTGGGGGTATAGAATGTCAATATAGTCTAGCATTCAAGAAACTCCATTCAAGATGACTTACGAATTTGATGCAATGTTATCAGTAGAAGTCGGAGAACCATCGTGGAGAAGGAGGATGATAGAAGGGGAAAAAGAAGAAGTGAATAGTGAAATGATGGAAATTGATTTACATTTGTTAGAAGAAGAAAGAGAGAAGACAACTATTGTGGAGATGGCGTCCAATCAGCGAGCAACGACAAGGTATAACCGAACTATGGTGAAAAGATCTTTTCAACTCGGAGATCTAGTGCTGAGGCTGGCAGATATAGGAAACAAAAAAGTTGGGGATGGTAAGTGGGAAGCAAATTGGGAAGGCCCGTATAGAGTGATGGCTTGCACACATACAGAAGCTTATCAGTTGGAACACTTAGATGGGAAATTGACTTCGAGGCATTGAAATGCAGACAAGTTGAAAAGGTATTTCAGTTAGGGGACTTGCTTAATTTATCTTTAGAATGTTTTTTATAATTCCAAGAAGGTTAGGAAGTGCATGTTTCTTTAGATTTCTTTCAGATTTGAAGTTTATTGCTTATAGTATTTCCTTTGTAAATCTTGAATTCGAAACAAATATTACAAGCGAGTTTTGACAAAAGTATTTGAGTCAGAAAACACTAAAGTCCCTTGCCGCCATAATTGGCCTCTTGGGCACCCGTACAATTCCTACTCGAAAACGAGAAAACTAAAGTCCCTTGCCGCCATAATTGGCCTCTTGGGCACCCATCCAATTCCTACTCGAAAATGGGAAAACTAAAGTCCCTAGCCGCTAGAATTAGCCTCTCGGGCACCTGTCCGATTCCTACTCGGAAACGGGAAAAATAAAGTCCCATACCGCCAGAATTGGCCTCTTGGGCACCCGTCCAATTCCTACTCGAAAACAGAAAAAAGTAAAGTCTCTTGCCGCCAAAACGCGGCCTATAGGGCACCCGTTTAGTCCCTACTCGCCAGTAGGAAATAAGTTGATTTCAAAATAATGAAGTGGTTTGTACTCGGAAAAAGACAAAACCAAGATCCCCATAGATAGTGGCTTATAATTATAATTTTTACCAAGAAACAAACAACAATATTACGAACATAGAATTGAAAAAAGAACATAACAAAATCGGGGCCTTAGAATTGCATAACAACGATGGAAGTAGAAGGAGTTAAAGGCTTATCAGCAGTAGCAGTATCGGTGCTTTGGTCATTTATCCGGATGCGTTTTCTTTGTCGGAGTTCGTCAGAATCAGCTGGGGTCTCTACATCCATCAGGATAGTATCTCCGGGAACAGAACCGTAGCAGATGTAGCCGGAATAGGAGATAGAGTAGAAGAGGGATCCTTGTCGCTAGAGGCAGAGGGAGCGTCGTTCCGACTTCCTTTCTTCTTCATCATGGCAAAAAACTTAGGATCCATGATGTTATCTAAAAAAAGAGGAGAGTGGAGTTAGATATAGAATATATAACAGCATGCAAGGAATATGCTAAAGGTTACTTACTATGCTTTTTGCGAACCCATTCTGAAGAATCTCCATTTTCTAAAATGAATCGAGGAGCAATAGAAGCATTCTCTTTTGTTAATTGAAGTGCTAAATCTTTAAACCAAGTATAGGTTTCAAATTCTTCGTTAGCCAGATTCTTCGAGTTAGTTAAAAACACTTTTGCAGAGGGTGTGTAGTGAGCACGGTTCCAAGATAACGGGAACCGAGGAAGTCCACCTTGATCCAAAAAAAAGGGTTGTAGGAGGTGCAGATTGAGAAGAAGAAGAAGAAGAAATAGATGGTGTAGAAGGAAGAGTTTCGGGGATACAAATTTTGAAGTAATCTTCTTTGAAGTTTTTTCAGTTATCCTCATATATAGTACACCACCTAAGTCCTGGGCGAGCTTTCAAAGAAACCCATCTATAACTGGTACTGCCTTTCTCGATAGCATTTCGGAACACGGCAAAAAGTCATAAAAAGACCTGGGAAGAATAAGCAAATCCATAAGCTCGACAAATTATTTCAAAAGTTTGTAAAAAGCACTAACTGTTAGGATGAAGTTGAGAAGGGGAAACCTCGAGATGACGCAATACTTCCTTTTGGAAATCGGTAAAAGGTAATACAATTTTAAGCTCAAAAAATAAACATTAGTAGACGAAAAAGAAAGAGTCATCACCTTGCCCGAATGGGGAACAAATCCTATCATTTTTGTCGGGTACGGTAACCCAGAAAAAGGTAATTATGGAATCATGAAATAGAGGTACTGACTGTAAGGCAGGATGTAGAGTGGTCGGATTGTTTTCATAAGTTAAGCGAAGTCCTAATGCTTCTTCGTCAACCCATTCCAAACTCACCAGATTGGAAGGAAGAGCAAAGCGAGAAGCGAACGGTAAGGATGATTCCTCGGCATGTACCTGGAAGGAAAGACACTGTTAAACTTTAACTCGAAAAAGGAATTAATAGCTAACATGTTATCAGGGGATGGTTGAGGACACAAAGATACCCTAATCCGTCCGGAACCCAGCAAAAGGAATACAGGGACCCTATAAGGGGTAAAGTTATTACGATAAAGATGACTACTTTTAGGCAAAGAAGAGGATATTAAGGGATCTAAAACGTCTTTTTTAAAGATGGTAGTAGGGGAAGTATTAGGATGGTTCATAGTAGTAGAAATATGAACAGTGATAAGTGCATGTAATAAGAAAGTATCAAGAACGTAAATATGCAACGAGTTTTGTAGATAAAGATTAGAAAGAACAAGAACAAATTGAAAAGTAAACTTATTTGGTAGAAGGCTCAACGATAATGGAGAATGAGAGCAGCAGCCTTGAAGAAAGGTCAACACGAAAACAAAGGAAATGCAGAGGAAGGAGAAATGAAGAAGAGATACTGGCCGAAGGAAATAGAACATTACCTAGGAGAAAGATCAGCGAAATAATTAGAATGTAAAAGCTGGGAAAAGGAAGAGTTTAAAAGAAGGAGGCATAAAGGTGAGCGGACGTTTTGAATTTTGAAATGAAATGATTGAAAGATGTCAAATCGCGCCGCTTGGAAAATCGAGACCAATGAAAAAAGGACAGCTGGCAAGAATAGGCTGAGGAGGCAGAAAGCATTTAATGATAGTACAAATAAAGTGATATTGTTCGCCATTAGATAAGACCAACCCATACTACTAACTCGGAGTAAATTAGGTATTACACTCCGAGCTGGGGGATTTAATGTTCTGGGCTGGTCATATGGGCTTAGGCAAGCCCAAATAAAGCCCAGATTAGAGTTAGGATGACTGGGTAAGGAGCGTTGTTTAAGCACAGAACCTGACCAAGGAGCTCAGAATGTGCCTGCAACCCAAGCATTATTGGCATAGATGGACCCTACCACGCAATAATGGACTTATCAGTAACTGCCCACCACGATTATAACCATCAAATATGGTATATATAAAGGGGAAAAACCCAGTAAGGAGGACACACACTAGATAGAAAAGTAACCCATTAATGTTCGTCCAGAACACAAATGACTTGGTGGTAGTCAGTAGGCCTCACATTCCCCTTAATGCAGCACAAAGTAGCCACCTTCTAAAGTGTTATGGTGGCATAGCGGATTACAGGCTGATCACTACTGCAAAGAAAGAAGCTCTGATGAAATAATAAGGCTCCTCCATTCTTGGACAGAAACAAATGTTAGAGATTTGAAATCTGTCGTGCAAAAGTGAGAAGAAGCTCCTTTGCTATTGGCCTGTGGCACTATTAACTGCTTTTAAAAACAAAAGGGCGCTTGTTTTTGCATTGTGAATCAGTTCCAATCATTGTTGTTAAAACGTAGAGTCTACGTAGAAATGGCAGAGGCGAGCAAAAACATAAAATCATGAAACGTAAATGAAACGTAAGAGTTTAGTACATACCACATATATCCAACATATATTTATAGTTATCAAAACCATATATAATCAAATATATAATAAAAAGGTGGAATATAAAATATAAATCACAGTTGAATAGAAATAAATTACAGTATATATAATCACTTAATATAATAATAATATCTACTGAAATGAACTAGTATGTAGATGGAATAATAAAATAATAAAATATAAAGTGGGTGGAATATATAATATCTAATTTGAGTCAAAAGGTACCATCATGCTAACCAAAAAATAAAAATAAAAATAAAATAAAGGAAATAGTATATAGATGGACAAAAGGTTAGATCCTATGACGTTGGTTTAACAAAGGAGCAAAAAAAATAATAAAATAAGAGTTAGGTGGGATATACGGTATGTAACTTTTTTCCTTAAGTTAGTGGGTGCCATCGTACATAAAAAAAACTAATAAAATAAAGGAATGGTATATAAATGGAGCGAAAGGTTGAAAATGGGCGTTCTTTTTAAGCAGAATCTGGCAAACTAATAGATCATTCACAATGATGCTACGTCGCTTGTGAGCAGGTGCGCATGTGAGGTAGTGACTATGGCCATCCACATCCCACTCCACATCCCACTACTAGACAGATCTACCATCGAAACCACCACCTGCCATCTCCAACCCCAACCACAGTCTCCATCAACTTGCGAATCATGCACATGGTTCACCGCCACAGGCCTCAACTTCGAACCACCATATCCTAGCCATCACGCACCTGTCTCCACCGCAAACCACCAAATCAAAGACGGGAGAACACCATAACTTTGTTCCTCTCTTTCTTTTCCCTCTTGCGACTTTACCATGATTAGCCCTCGGAGAAGGAGACATAGCCATTTCCTCCATTTCTTTTTTTTACTGAGTCAACCGAGTTTATCGAGTTGGCTCGGCGTTTCCACCGTTTCAACTCAAAATCTGTTTCAACCACAGTTTTAACACGATTTTGAAAAAAAAAAACTTCATTTCTACGAGTTGGAACGACGTTTTAACAACAATGATCATGACTATCTGGGGTTACACAAAACTGAGCAAAGAATGTCCTAAAAATTTACGGGGGTGTTTGTTTCAGGAGTTTTGGTTTGTTTCCCATCAAAGTGATTCCTGTATATTCAATTGTCCACGTTTGGTTCACGGATCTCATTAGATTTACCTATCAATGCCAGTTGCCTAGCTTTCCAATTTGCATGTTAAAAAGCAAAAAATCACTGTTCCAGAAAGCAAGTTTGAAGGTGGTATTTGTATGAAAAATCGGAGAAGTTAAAAAAGTTGTCTTATACAATGACACAATTACCCCTCACAATTGGTCCTACAGGGTTATTTTTCAAAGGATAATTTTATAATTTGATTAAGTTTTCCCATCAATATTTTATCTTCAACCAAACACACATTCAAGAATTTCCCTCAATTTTCCTGGTAAAATTTTGTCCAACCAAACAACTTTTTTATAACTTTTCTATCTAACTCACTTTCCCTGCAGATCCCTAGTAATTACATTTTCCTAGTAAAAAGATTTTTTACCGGAACCAAACACCCCCTACATGACTTTGGGATATGATTTTACGGGGAGAGTTATATTTACAAATTTTTTATTTACAAACTACACTATATACTCCCGGAAGTACACTAGGTTACATTATATACTTCCGAGAATACAGAGTGTAATTTGTCAAATTGTAAAAAAAAAATTTGTAAACGAATGATTTCTCTTATTTTATATCATATTCAATGGAATGAAGGATGCAATTGCACGATACATGCTTAACTAGGATTGTTATGGGCAGTCTTTACTTGAAGAGAAAATTTAGATTTTAAAGTATAAAGGAGAGGAATCTATACATGGATTGAGAACTTGGCAAAGTAACGCGAAATACAAGGTTAGACGTGAGGACTTGCATGTGATTTAATCCAGATCGATGCAAGTCAAACTATATTCTGGGTTTCCAAATCAGCATCTTCATCATTACATAAAATGCTAATGCTATTGCTATAATAAAAGGGGAATTAGTGAAGGTAATCAATTTTTTGTTTGCTTTTGGAATAAGTCTGATTTTGTTTCAGACATCTTATATTGTTTATATTAAAATTTGTATTTAATGAAATGCATTTCTCTAGTATTTATGTAATTCCCAACAACTTGTAAGGATTAATGACTTCCCACAAACTAACACGAGACTTTTCAGCGTGCTTTGTCCTTACTGGCACACTTCCTGGGAAAACTTCCCAATGTGTCACCAATTCCAGAATTGCTCAAAGTCAAGCACGCTTAACATAGAGTTCTTCGATTCCGGCCTATCGAAAAGTAGATGCATCTTATTAAAATCCCTCTTTTTCGGGTGTCGATTCAATTCATTCATGTACTGGAAGCCTGCCAGGAGCTGCTCCTTGCATGTGCCCTTTCGCACCTGCGATTACTCCCTGCCCTCGTCAGCGCTCGGGATGTTACAATTTATGTTTGTTGGGTCATAGGGGGAAACCAGTGACGTAGCCATGTTATACTTAGGTAGGGCCTGGCCCAACTACATTTCTAAAATTTTTATTTATTATATATAATTATATAAGTAATTATAATTGGGCCATAGCTAAAATTGTAAGTTGGCCCTAGCTAAAATCATAACAGTGATAATAGACGAAGATTTGGAGCTGCTTTACGTGTGTGACCAGATAACTTATTGCTTTCTTCTTAATTTCTTCTTCTTCTTCTTTCATCCATTTCCAATTAACATTTTCTTCAAACCTTTTTTTCTTATTCACAATACCACCTAGAACTAGTCATTCTGCGATAAGGTACAATGTTTCGTTCCTTTCTCAAGATTTTACGGATACATGTTCTTGGAATATGCATTGGTAATTATATTGTCCGCTGGGGGAAAAAATTGATTTACATTTTTGAACCTTGTAAAAGAGAAATTATTTGTCTTTGCTGATCATAACTGTTTATTGGGTGTTTCTAACATGAGTGAAATTCATGCCCCTCTTTTTTATTTACAACTTTTTTTTGTGTGGTTGTATTTATTGATTTTATTTCTTTTGAAAAATGAAGTGCTATTTTACGTTTGCATTTTAAAAAAATATATATATTAATGTACAGCTATAGTTGCTATTGGTAATAGAATTGAATTGCTTCTTGGTGTTATTTGTATTTGATTTCACAACAGGAATATGAATTTTGGCGATTGATCAGTGGAAAATGTTAAAGAGAAAAATCAATGAAGATATATGTACATATGTGGAGTATGAAAGAATCTTGTACAAATTCATTAACAATTTCTTGGATTTTTGTATTTTTAAAATTTTTAAAATATCTAAAATTTGATTAAATGATTTATGTGGATCCAGTGTCATTTAAATGATTTTAGACATTTGTCGATGATTGTTCCATGTTTCTTTTTAATTGTAAAGTTTGCTGTCCCTCTACGTTGATGTTCTTCACAGGTCACAACTAAGAGTATAAATGGGCCAAGTTAGGCCAGACTTTGGCTTTGATAGCCTAAACTTATGTAAAATATTTAGAGCTTATACTAACCTATTAGCCTATTAAATGCTTGATTTATAGGTAAGCCCTATTGTAAAAAACTGAAAAATCTAATACGGCCTGTAAGGCCTACCAAGTTGCAAACTAAAGTTTATAGGTCCAAGCTAAATTAAAATATAGAAGGTAAAAAAATTTATTCACAAAGATCACATGAAATATATTTTCATTAACATTACATGAAATAATGTTCATAAAAATCACATGAAAATTTCATATATGTATATATACATATAATTTGCACTTTCTTTACTAATTTAATTTTATAATATATTTTAAATTTTAAATAAATATTTACTATTTGTTAAAATAACATCAATTCTATTACTTTGAAAGTTGTAAGTAATTATTTTTCATAATAGATTTGTGTAATTATGAAAATATTTTGTTAATTTGATACGAAAATTTTTTGGCCACTAGGGAACTAATTGGTAACGAAGCATATAGAGATTGTTGCTAGCCTCTATTCGCCACTGGGGGAACTAATTGGCCATTGGGGTATACGTGATAAAAAAAAACCACATGAGCATAGGAGATTCTGGAATAAACCAAACGGACATTGATGAACTTTTCCCAACAATATATTATACAAGAAGAAAACCTTTTGTATTTTGACTCGTTCAGCTTCTCTTTCTTTTTATCTCCGTTGCTTAAACTCTTCCTTGGCTTTCATTCTTGCAGCTACCACAACAGCTTTATTGTAGCTTTATATTGGGCTTCAACCTTAACTTTCCCTGTCATGAAGCAAAATGCAGCATTTATATTATATAAATACTAGAAACAAAGCTTCATAGTCCCCAAATCAAAATTCAACTAGGATAATGGACATTTAAATATGAAAACAATCATAAAGTTATATTAAACCAAATTAATTTTTTCCCCAAATATAGAAATGACAGATGCTATATTCACCTTCATGCTGCATCCTTTCCCTTTCCTTTTGCATCTTCATTTTCACAGGATCACTCTTGTGACCCTAAACAAAGAAAGGCAAAGGAGTTGGGGAATAATGCTACATTCAAAACTACAACCTATTAAAACACAAGGAGAAAGTACCATAACCAAGATATGCAAAAGCCTGGTCGAAAAGTGTTTCATTTTGTGCTTTACAGATAGTATCTGCAAAGCGGCGCTTCTGCATAGCAACATTGATAGCCTTTTTGGGTGATAGCAGTACATCGTAAACAGGAGTGCTCATTCTGAAGAAAAAAAATAGCAATTAGAATCATACAAGTTCACAATATAAAATGTAGTAGCAATTAAATGAAGCATAAAAGAAAAAGTTGACCTTCTCCAGAAAAGAAATCAGTAACAGGTGATGTAAGATGAAAAGTACAACGTCCATGTTCACTATCGAGACAACTTGCAGCCCTTCACATACTATCCAGGTCATCGGTGCATTCCAAATTATCGAAAAAGTTACATCTAGAACATCACATATCACAAATCATTTGCAACAAATCTGTAACGACTTGATGCTTTGTACCTTTGTGTAAGTTTTTTCTGAATCAATTTGCAACGAATATGTAACGACCTAGGAACCTCAACCTATATAATCAAAGTATTGTCACAATTAAAAACTATTATGAACATACATAAAACAAACAAACAAACCACAATAACATGACCACTGAGGCAGAAGCAACATTATTTTACATCAATTCCAACACTATGTATTACATTTTCGCAAATTCCAATAAGGCTTACTTCCCTCGTAGAAAACAATACTTACTTTAGCATGGCTTCCATCCAATGAACTAATCTTCTGAATTTCTTTCATTTCAGGTACTTGCAACTTTTTGGGCAAGGTATCCTTTTGCAGGGGATGTATCCTATTACAAAATTTTTTCTCATGTCCCCTCACTGCTCCAGTCATAATTTTTCCATGTTCATTTTCACACTTGCATTTTTTCTCCAAGTCTTTCCATTTTCTCTCAAATATTTTTTTGAGCTCTGTTACCATTAAATGAACAACATTCATAGGAGGATTATATGTCATGGCATTTGAAAAGGTCAATCTAACATCAGCTGCAAATTCCTCAATGCTAAAGTAAATATTTTTTTCCAGCTTGGATTTAATAGTGCCTAAATCCATGGATATGACTGTAAAATAATCTGGAATATTCAATGCCACAGGATCCACTGGCTTATTAAAAGCCCAGCCATATGTGTGCGATGTTAGACTCTTCAGAATGGCGGTACACAGAAGAGATGCTTTCCGATCTATCTTTTGCCTCTTCTCTTTATGGCCCTCAATAATAGTAATACCTTGTGGTCCTCTCTTGATGGAACCTGTCATAGAGGATTTTTCCTTTGAATTAGAGCACTCATTCTCATCAAAGTGGGATGCTTTTTCTCTAAATTCATACTTTTTCAATACAGAATCAACTTCAATCCTTTTGGTAGTAACTTGAAATTTGATTTCTTACCTGGTACTGTTGTTTTAGTAGCACCCTATAATGATGTACTCAAACAAATTGTTTGAGGAAAATATTTTGATTTCCAAATTCTTAGGATCCAGAAGGCACACTTTGCTGCAAAGGCATCAAAGAAACAATACATCACATATTGGATAGCCCCCCAAAGACAAGGTGCAAAAAAAAAAAAAGATAGCAACAATCTCTGCAATAATAATGTAACCCAATTCAACAAGTATAATTAATTCAGGGATAAAATATAGCACCATAGGAGTTAACAACCAATAGGAAAAAAATCAAATATTAAATAACACCATATATCAAACACATTTTTGCACAAAGTAAATCACCAAATAAAAAATCACATTTTTTATAACACAAACGCTGGCATGCATATACCAGTGCATTAGAGTAAAAAAGAAATTGACATCAAAAGACCAAATTCGGACAATCTTTTTTTACAACTTGCATAAACCTCAGGCCAAAAAAACTCAAACAATCCAAAACCCATATTCCCCGACGCCATAAATAAAAAATTTAGGAAAAACTTTAATAATATTCCTATGGTTTGCTTTAAAATCAAAAATACCCTTTAACCTTTTTTTAATCGGGAATGACTCTGTGATATAGAAAATATTCGTACCCTCTTTATCACCATTAACACATTTATGTGTTTCTTTTATTATTGTCCCTGTTTAAACAACACATATAATCACACTTTGAAGGGTTTAAATAAGAGCAATAATGGAGGAGAGGCACGCAGCTGTTAAGGAAGAGTATGGTGTTTTCTACACTATGGATGTTTTTTATTCAAAAGCAAACTTTAAGCGAAAACACAGAAATTAACCAAGAAGTCCCTAATCCCACCCACTTTGCCATTCATATCGAAACGGAAGAGTTTTTTCTTAAAAAGAAAAAAAGAAAACTGAAATTTTATGAGTAAGCAATTTTATTGAGAGAGAAGCAACTTTATGAGAAAAAAAACAATTTTTCATGACAAAATTGTATCGTGTATATTTAAAAAAAGGAAAATGTTTTTTGCTTTAGAGGCAGAAATTATTTATCTGCGGTAAAGAGAAAAAAAAAAGAGAAACCATAAATATAATAGACACCACTTTATTTTTTCTCTTTGGAGGCAGACAAAAGATTTCTACCTTTAAAATAGAAATCATTTCCCTTAAAAAAATGGGTGTAACTCGTTCCCTTTCTTCTTCCTAACGAATCTCATCGATTTTGTTGTTTGTATCAGACAATTTTATTGAGAAGTTATATTCCCAACAAAGCAAAAAACAACAAAACAAAAACCAGCTTACCCGAAAAATTGCAGAGAGGGACCACGCTTGCAATAGGGTTTTACTCGCAATAGGGTTTTAATTGAAATTACAACCTAATTCAATCTACTCAAATAGGGTTTTACTTTTTTACTGTGATTTCCTTTATTTATTAGGATGAAAGACTGTGGTTATTTCATTTTATTTTTTTTAGGATTAATGTCTCTCTTATATTATAGAAAATAATTTTATTTTTCACACACATAAAAGTATAGGACTTCTATATTTTTTTTTGAGTAAAGACCCAAATGGGTCCCTAAATGCGGTGCCCAAATTAGTCCCTCACAAAAATAAACTCGTTAGATAGTCCCCAACAAAGTGAAACAGGATCCACGTTAGTCCTTCTGTCAATCTAAAACTCATGGCGTCAATGACGATGATGATGTGTAACGTTAATGAGAAAGGTCACTGCCACGTTGGAGGGGAAACGACGTCGTCTGAAGAAATTTACCTCCACGTTGTTGTTCAGTTCTCCTTCCCTCTCAATTGAAGAAACAAATTGAACGTTCAGTTCTCCTTCCTTCTCAATTTCATCAAAAGAACATCGTCGTATGCTTTAGGGTTCTTCTTAAACTAGAAAGAATGGGATTGAATCGAAGATTGAACGTTTAGGGTTTGGGGATTACTGATTTAGGGTTTATCCTTCATTTTGTGCGTTGTTTGAAACTTGGTGTTTAGGAGATGAATATTTCTTCTGGGAGGGGGAGCTCAAGCCCTTGTAGTTTATTTCGGTCCATAAGTGAAAGAAGGAGAGTTGTTCCATTATTCAAATGTGGGAGGCACAATGTTGTTTACACCTCCAAGACCATTAGAAACCTAAATAGAGCATTTTTTGGGAGCCCCAATTTCAAGGTGAGGTATATTTGTTGGGTGACCAATGAGACAGTAACTACGTAGTGCACCAGGGCCAGATTCATGAGCTTCATGTCTACACCAGGGTTCAAGCCACCAAGACCAACCCCACAAAATTGATTGGAATACTGTGTAATCATTGACATTAGGTCATTTTTTTGGATGCCACTGATATAGGAATTAATTGGAATTGTAATTAGGGTATTTATTTTGGAAATACTTCGGTATTGGTCCTGTTGAAATATGTCATTAGGTCATTTTTTGTATGCCTCTTGTTATGGCCATAGTTAGTATGAGCATTATGCTTTTTTGGAACACATATGTAGTGGCCTTCATGGAAATATGTCAGTGGGATTTTTTTTATATGACTGTGGCATGTTGGCCATGGTTAGTAATTGTAACTAGGATGTGATGAAATGAATGCAAAATGTTTGCTTTCTATCTGTCTTTGCTGTCATTAATGTATTCAATGCTGCAATTTTTAAATTTTGGTCCACACCATCTGTCTGCTGATACACTTTCAGGTTTCTGTCAATAATGGTATTTTTGTTCTGTTTGTTATGTCCTTTTATGGGTCATGTGTAGTTTCACTGCATTAGTAAACCATCAGCCCTCAACATTTTCAATCGAGGACTTTTTTAGTCCTTATTTTCTAACTCATAGGTCCATTATGGTCCCTAACAATTTTATCAGGGGCCCTTTTCAGTCCCTGCTAACAAGAATGTACATTTGCTATTAACCGATCAGCAATGTCATTTCCCCATATTCATGCTGATATCAGTCATGACTAACACAATTAACTTCTGCATAATTCACACCATCACATTCTTACTTTAGTGTTCATACATTATTTCCAAAAAAAATTTATCTGCATCAATTTATACAACACTTTGTATGCCTCTTAAAATAACTTTAAATACATAAGCCAAGCTATATACATTGCACGAACAACAATTCATTATATTTCAACACTGGTCCTTCCATTACAAATCTTTACATTCCAAAATTGTTACAACATGTAATGGTACATACACCAGCAAATCTCAACAGAACCACATTTTTTATTTCACTCCACCCTACTTGCAAGATATATACATATTACAAACACAACAATAATGGATCCAGCAAACACCCTAGCGCACTTACACACATGCTTAATTTCCTTTTCCACCCTTTCAAACTCTGCCTGCATTTTCACTCATAGTTCATCAATCTTTATATTTTGCTCAATAATCTCCTTTTTGTGGTCATTCACCTCACCCTGAAATTGGAGCACCCAAAAAATGCTCTATTTGGATTTCTAATGGTCTTGAAGGTGTAAACAACATTGTGCCTCCTGTAACACCCTGTATATATCCGGTAATGTGATTATACTATCGTATTAAGCTGCGCTTAATTAAAAATGCGGAATATATTTTTCTTTCCAATTATGATGTCGTTATCATTACCAACTTGCTTATTAATCAATTAATAAAACATCGCCTGTATGTAATTGCAATAAAACATCTAACTGAAATACCTCATAACATAGATAATAAAAGTGTGTCTCTAGAAATCACGGGACTACCACAAGTAGGCCGGACCAACTAGCAGGTTATACAACTCCAATCTAAAAGTACTAACAGAAAGTGTCATGGACAATCTCAATGCTCACTCAAATAAGGCAACAAGCCCAACATCAGTCTCAACACAACATAATCATAAATAGCGGAAAACATAAACAGCATCCAAATCCAGTCATGGCAGCAATATAGCATAAATATCATAATCAGCTAAGCTCTGGCCTCCTGCCGCCAGAGGCATCAGTCACCAAACTACCTGAACCTGAAATAAGCATTCCTCAAACGTGGGGTGAGATCTCTAAACAAGAAATCTCAGTAAGCCAAGGGGTCCTCGAAGATCTTCCATCCCAAGCTCACTTACATATGCAATATAAGTTTAAAAGTAGTTCATCAATATCATTTCTAAAACAGTGCAATGAAGCAGATAATCATGTCATGTGTGTCAATTCTATTCTACTGGCCAGAGAAATGCAGGAATAAGTATACGTCTATTACCCACAATTAGTGCAAGACGCCACTTGCATTCACCCCGGATCACCATTTCGTATGACGCCACATACTCAGGCTTACCGTCAAGATGAAACAACACATGCATATTAAAAGCCATTACACATAAAGATCAACAGCATTTCAAATATTCAAAGCATATAACACAACATGCATATAACCACACCCCCATGGGACATGGTGGAACCACAACATGGCTAAACCGAGGACACGAAAGCTTACCTTGCAAGCTCACTATCCAAGCCAAGAGTCCTCACAACTCAAGTCCAACACACAGCAGATCACAATCTGATTTAGGACCAGCAAGTGTATCAACATACATAGCTCAAAAGCATTAACATAAAGACTACGTTTTCTTTTACGTTTTACGTCTTAAGCCTTCCACAAAGCCATAAGCCCTTAATCACATGATTCTGACTTAGTTCATTAAATACAGAAGTTCAACTTCATCAATCTAGGGTCCACAAACCCCCAATAGCCTACTGTACACACAGCACAGCTACTGTTCTACGAAATCCTTGAATATCCGGATATTCCTCGGGTGCATATCCGGATACCAATATCCGGATATCCAGATCCCTATATCCGGATATCCCATATCCGGATATCATATCCGGATATTCCACGGGCAGATATCCGGATATCCAGATCCCTATATCCGGATATCCCATATCCGGATATCATATCCGGATATCCAATATCCGGATATTCCACGGGCAGATATCCGGATATTTCACGACAGAATGCAGAAACTGCATTTCGTGAAGATATCCTTCCAAGGTTGGGTTTTTACCGATTTTAAACACTTAAACATGCATTTCTAGGTGTGTTTGACCAACCCCAACATTAAGTTATCATCTTTTAGCCTTAACATGCATCAAGCTTCCATTTTTAAGTATAAACTCAAGATCAAAGGTTTGTACAACATACCAAGGCTCAAAACTCAGAACAAAGAGGCCCTTGGAGCTCACTAGACACTCCCAAGGTTCTGTCTCTCACTGTACACGAAAATGGTGCACAAAGGTGGTTCTTTTACACAACAAGGAAGCTCATTGAAGCTTCAAAACACCTAAGGAAAGCTCCCTCCTTCCCAAAACGTGAAAAAAGCAAGCTCACCCTCTCAAGACAGAAGCCAAAGTCAGAAATGAAGTCTCTTTCTCACTCACAAGGATTGTTCACACTCACCCAATGTGTTTACAAGAGAAAGGGTTAAGAATCAAGAAGGAAATGGCCTAGAACCTTAAGAAAAGGAAGAAGAACACCAAAGGGTTGTGTTTCTGGTCAGCCACCAACACTATTCACGCAGGAATTTATGTTTTCTAGGGCAATGTGCCATTAATGAGGGTATATATAGCCCACTTAAAGATTAACACGCAGTATTAGCTTTAATTGCTACGCTTAGCATTTTAATCCCAAACTTCGGATTCTTAACCTATTCAATTTTACAAGAATTATCATATTTTTATAATATTTTTCTGAGCACCTTTCCGGTACGCGCTTTTCATAGCCAGTATCAGTTTCTGGCACCAGTTCTCATTATTTGGACTTGAAACTAGTTTTACAAGTCCTACATAACATTCTAGTAATTATCATGCACTTACTTTAATTTTCCGGGATACTTTTTCGGTACGCATTTATACCGACTAGCAGAACCGGTATCTGCACTTTTCTTCCGAAAAGCGTCTTTCAGCATTATTACTCACGTACTATAATTATTAAAGCCTCATAATAATTATTATGGTCAATTATGGAATTATTTCCTATTTTCTCATAATTTATTAATTAAATTCCTTTAATTAACGGTGCGGGTTCTTACACCTCCCACATTTAAACAATGGAACAACTCTCCTTCTTTCACTTATGGACCGAAATGAACTACAAGGGCTTGAGCTCCCCCTCCCAGAAGAAATATTCATCTCCTAAACACCAAGTTTCAAACAACGCACAAAATGAAGGATAAACCCTAAATCAGTAATCCCCAAACCCTAAACGTTCAATCTTCGATTCAATGCCCTTCTTTCTGGTTTAAGAAGAACCCTAAAGCATACGACGATGTTCCTTTCATGAAATTGAGAAGGAAGGAGAACTGAACGTTCAATTTGTTTTTTCAATTGAGAGGAAAGGAGAATTGAACAGCAACGTGGAAGCAAATTTCTTCAGACGACGTCGTTTCCCCTCCAACGTGGCAGTGACCTTTCTCATTAACGTTACACATCATCACCGTCATTGACGCCGTGAGTTTTGGATTGACAGAAGGACTAACGTGGATCCTGTTTCACTTTGTTGGAGACTATCTAACGAGTTTATTTTTGTGAGGGACTGATTTGGGCACCGCGTTTTTTGTCATGGACCCATTTGGGTCTTTACTCTTTTTTCTCTCTCTTCTATTCACATGGCTCAACATTGACACTATAATAATCCTAACATTTGGATTATGAAATTATGGATTAATTAAAAAATTAATCATAAATCAGAAGGATTAATTAGATGTGAGATTTAATTAAATGAATAAAAGTCACTTGGGAAAAAGTACAATTAATAAAAGTTTTAAAACAAAAAAATAATTATATAAAAGTTGCACGGAACATAAAAATAATATAATGTAACATTATTAAGGAATTTAGTAAAAAGGCTAAGTCTTGATTATCAAAGGAATTACATGAGGGATAGTTTGGAAAATTGTAAAATAGATATTTTTTTAGATAACAAAAAGTTAAAAAAGGTGATTAAATGTTAATTACATGATCAAATCCTTATTTCCTCTCTTCTTCTTCTCCTACGGCCGAATCGCCATTTTCATAGAACTTGAAATACAACTTGATATTTAGTCAATGTTAATTCAACCGCACCGGCAAGGCTGGATCGACCTGGGAACCGATAAATCGGTCAGGGTGAAGCAACGGGCCGGCCATGCATCAGAACTGGTGCGACGAGACCGATTTTTGTGAAAACCGGTAATCGGCCCAATCCAAAACAAAAAATTCCAAAAAAAATAAAATCATAATGGACATATTTGAGTATTTTTTGCTTATTGACTTACATAAGTTATATACCTATAATACAAATATTATCTTAATTATGCAATATGCAGGAAATTTTGATAAGATTTATAGTTAGAAATGTCGTTTGCTGAACCTGAAGCCTCGTACCACGATCATTATATTTTTATTTGATCCTTTATTGAATAATAATGTGTGATTTATTAATTTTTATATTAAAATATTTGAAATTTTTATTATTTTTCTTTAGATATTTGAGTACGTTTATAATTTTTTAATATAAATTACAAAATTACATATAATAATCGGGTCATGCGATTCAACCAATGACCCACTGGTTGAACCAGTGACCCAATACCTTGGCTGGGTGAATGATCGAGCTGGTTTTAATAACATTGGTTGGACTAGCACTAAATTCTAACACTACTTGCCGGCTTTTTTTGCCAAGAGATTCATTGCTATGTTTGTTACCTTATAATTGGATCTACAGAGATAGAGCTTGACTGTTGTGTATCTATGTCTTAGGAAGCTAGATACCATTATTTGTTTAATCTCATTTTGTATCAAATAGGTCTTGATTTTGAAGGATAGAGGAAATGTCCAGAGCATTCTATATTTCACTAAATTTTTTTTGGCAATGGACGAGATTATTGGTTGTTTAGGCCTTTTGACCTTGGTAGTGTCATATTTATAACATTTGATCGGAATAATTTCTTGGTCAAATGTATTACTTAAATAATGCATAACGACGCGGCACTGTGGGTAACGTTTTAAGACATGACACATAGGCAACTGCGTCCTGTGCAGTGGTTCTGGCCAATCATGTGCCAATGAGTGCAGAATCATTGCCCACTGGGATGCGTTACTCTCTCAGCTGCGTCCTTTGCAAGAATATATGCAAAAGACGCAGTACTGCATCAGCCGCATGTCAATATGTCACATCCACAAAAAGCCATGCAAAAGACGCGGTACAATATGAGCCGCGTTCTAGTGTATTTCATCTCTTGGATTTATCACGGTCCGCGTCATTATGCATTATTTATGTAATACGTTTGACTAAGAAATTATTCCGGTCAAAGAGTTATAAATATGACAATACCAAGGTCAAAAAAGCCGGTTGTTTAATGTTTACGTTGCATGGGCACAGTTAAAATGACTGGGGCCTTGATCTCTACATCTCATATTATTTTGAGCAAACCTCCGGTACTTTTCATTGAGCTTAATGTTTCAGTCATCAAAGGTGAAGAAACAGAAGTTTCATAATAACAAATTAGGCACAACTTTATTAGACGATTTATGACATAATATATAGTGCTAGATTAACACCCACGTCCCCCCACCAACTTTCAACTATAAGGAGGGCCAAAGCTGTTGTGTCACAGGTGAACGAAGCGCATAGAATCCTTTGTGGGCTTGGGATGCAGAAGAGGATCAAGGTAGAGCGCCTTATCTGTTGGAAGTTCCCAGAAGAAGGGTGGTGCAAGGTTAATGTTGATGGATCGAGTTGTGATGGAGGGAGGAGATCAAATTGTGGAGGAGAGATCAGAAATGCTTCAGGAAGTTGGATCATGGATTTCTGCTAGAATCTGGGAATGGGATCTTCTACGAGAGCAGAATTGTTGAGGCTTCCTTAGTGGTATTGAGATGGCCTGGGCCTGGGGATTAGGAGGTTATGGATGGAAGGAGACTCTCTAGTTGCTATTCTCCTCATTGAAAAAGGTTGTGACATACAACATCCTCTTGCTTCCCTGGTCAACAGAATTGGAGAGATGCTGACAAGTCAGTGAGTGACAAAGATAACTCATACATTCAGAGAAGGCAATATGATTGCTGACAAGTTAACTAGTGTTGGGTATTCCTTCTCTGATTGGAATTTACATGTGCTAAATAAGGCACCTGAGGAGTGTATTTCCTTGCTTAGAAGGGATGTTATGGGCGTTACTAGCCCACATTTGTGTACTGCCATTGTTTCTTAATTTCCATTAGTTGTTCAAAATAAAATAAAAAAGATTAACACCCACGTCGGGACGTACTGTAATTCTTGGCCTTAAATTATAAACCTTAAATAGAAAATTATCTTGAGAAGAACAATACATACAAAACAAAAGTCTTCAGTACAACCTAAAATAAAAATCGTCAGAGCTCCATTGTTTTATGGTATGTTACAAGCCTAGTTTTTCACGAAGCTAAAATTTTTCAAGACCTAACGGATTAACATGAACATAAAATAAAAATGTACCATCAAACTAAATTTATGTGTAAACTGAACGTGACTTTTTGTAGGATCTACAACTTCAACAACTTTTAAGCAGGAGAGCACACAATTACGAATTATCATGCGGGTTTTCACTAACCATTAACGTTTATGATTTGATGTCTCTGGAAAATAGAATGGTGGTTATGATCGTCCACCTCCCATTAAGTAGCACTAAACAACTTTGACTAAAAAGAAACAGATACCTCAAATTTTAGCAAAGAAGTTTTAAACATTAAGAATATTATTCAAAATCAAGGGAAAAGAATGGTCAATCTAGAGAATCTTGTTCTCTAGCCTCGTATCCTTGATCTTATTATCAAGTCAATCAATCTAACCAATTATTCTAGCCCTCAAAGACCTATTTTTAACTAACTAATTGGTTAAGAATTTGCTAACTAACTACTAACCAATTGCACTTCTTATCAGACATAACATGACAAATATAAAAGAAGAGCAAATGAACAGCACGTTGAATAACCAAACAAGAAGAGCAAATATAAAAGTTAAGGCGAGGTAGAACACCTAGAAGTTCACATAAACCAAGAAAGCAAGCTGAATTTTGCCACTAACAAGAATTTTCTATCATAGATAAGCTGGTAAGACTTAGACAGCAACTTTTTGTTCAGATGCTGAAGCATCTGCATACACAGGGTGGAGGACATGACCTTCCTTGGGTTCAACATGCACCCACTTGCGACCTGTCAGCTTGTTCCGTTCAAACTTCACCCAGCCCTCTTTCAAAGCAAACAAAGTATGATCTTTCCCTAATCCAACATAGTTTCCTGGATGAAAACGAGTACCACGTTGTCTAACAATGATATTTCCAGGTATCACCCTCTGCATAATGAGAGTCATGCAATGAGTGAATGAAATATGTTCAGAACTCAGTTTTCTTCCTCTAATTGCATGTCATAAAATTCGTATTCTTTCTTAAAGGATAAAACTCATACCTCTCCACCAAATTTCTTCACTCCAAGGTTCTTGGGTTTTGAATCCCGTCCATTCTTTGTGGACCCAGCTGTCTTTTTGGTAGCCCAACGCCTGAACACAAGACTCAATCCTTCTCCAGAAACATCTGAAATTATGAGTCAAAAAGTCATTAGTCTAGCTTACTTTTGAAAATTATAACAAATAGTCAATATACGATTACGTAGTAATACCACCAGCACTTCTGTACATGGGAACATTTGTCACGAGTTCCTTGATATTCAATCTTCTGCACAATGATGCCGCAAAATTCATGTTGTTTTCTATGAGACAGAGACTGCCTGAAATACACATAATAGCGTTGGAAAAAATTCAAATACTGAGAAAGCTAAGCAATGATGCCTGGTTTGCTAACTACCAAAAAATAGAGTGAATCAGCTGTTGCAAGATCAAAAGTTAATAAGCTGGTCATGTTAGTCCTTTTGATTTGTGATCATTACAAGGTATTTATATATTTAATATACAGACAAGATACTTCATTAAAAAAAATTCATTGCAGAACCCGTATATCCTTAAACAAAAGCAGCCTAAAACAATGCCAGCAAACAAATAATTATAGAGATACAATATAAAGTTTAAACAACCCATCCGGATATACATGAAACACTAGAATTATCATTTTATGATGAATGCATTCATCGCCCAAAACAGAAACCAATTGTTGCAAGCACAGGAACACCTCCCTATTGTCCTCGATTTCTGGTGATACATCTCTTTAAAGTCTTAAGTATATTATACAACAAATTCAGCAGAAATCTATTCAAGCCATTAGCAAGTAAAATAAATCAAATCAATGTTTAAGATACAATATAAAGCATAAACAACCCCATCCTGATAAACATGAAATGATACATTTATCCTTATTAGATCAATACATTGATCACCCAAAATAGAAAGTTAGAAACCAGTTTTGCAAGCACAGAAGCACTCCTGGTGATACATCTCTTTAAATTCTTAAGTATGTTATACAATAAATTCAGCAGAAATCTATTATAGCCATTAGAAAGTAAAATAAGTCAAATCAATGTTTCAGTAAAACAGAATAGATGGTAACTTTGATTAAGTTATAGAAAATTAATCGGTCATTTTGTTACTGAACTCAAGAACTCTAAATTCACAATAACTTCAAGATTAATAGTATTGTATTATCAATAACTGATGAAAAAAAAAATAGAACTAATTCCAAAAATGCTAGCATATTGGAGAGTGGCCAAAGACAGCAGAAGTAATACACAAATTTCACAAATTTGAATACATAAATAATTGATTCTCAAAACTCAAGGCAATCAAAACTTAAAATACGTTCACTATTTATCTTAGTCATAGTAAACTCGAAGTAGCAATCACAAAAACTCTATCATGCATAACCAAAGGCTGAAGAAGGATTTGCGTGCCAAACAGAAGCTAGAGGAAGAGGAACTTATTGAGAAACCGAGGCTGGAGAAGGACCTTTGTGTGACACAGAGGAGCTAGCAAGCTGTGCAAACCACACAGGGGCTGACAGGCTGTGTACAAACTGGTTTGGCGTGATGAGTTATGGTGGGCAAGTGATAAGTTAACCAATGGCTCATGGAATGAAAGAGAGGCTGCAACACTCTGAGTTGGTAAGACTTGGACAAAGATAGGCAGAAACATAAGTTAACCAATGGCTCATGTATCACCCTTATACTAACATTTTGTTAAATAATGCATAGAAACAAAAGCAACTGCTCAATAACAAACAAATTCAGAGCTGGACACAACTCATTTTAGTTGAAAGAATTTCAGATAAGGAAAAGAACGCAATTGGACTCATCTATATCTAGTCAATGCAACTGCAATGACATCAGTTACATACTTGCATATAAGATACTATCCCTATGCACCTTCTCCCTTCAAAAGAACAATTATCTTATACTTGCATATAACATACCATCAATCTATTGCTTAAATCTTGATTTTATGTTGCCTCCTAAAATCTGGCGAAAATTAAAAAGATATGAACAGAGAGAGAGAGAGACGTTATCCCAGAAAGTTTTGGAACAACCATTAAGAACAAAGATACAAAAGCTTTACGACAATAATATATTTTTGAAAAATATAGAATTTTTGATCCGGTAAAGTGAGGGACTTAGAGAAGATGATGGACCATAGAAATATGTGACTCGAAGGAGAGAGACCAAGAGATCTCAAGCAGTGTTTAGAGTACCTATGCTACATCTAATTCACAAAGCTTCATGTCATTGTATTCTAGATAGTTTCTTCTAATTGCAAACTCACTATTGAGGCAGAGACAGTAAAAAAAAAAACACACACACACACACAACCTTTAAAATTTGCAACCAAAAACTTAACAGGAAAAGGAAAACTAAAGAATCATCAATCAGTGAAAATGAACATGGTATCAACCAAAGAACCATAACTCGGTTAAACTCGACCACCATGAATTTGGAACCAATCAGCTACTAATGAAGCAAACAGCAAAAAAAACGACATTTGAAGTTCTGAACGAATCGAAACACGAATGAAGAACATGGAAGGATTCAAAGCAGATAAAGAATTTGAAGAATAGATTCAACAATAAACAACAATTAAATTCAATAAGATAGAGGAACAACGTACCTGAATGAGAATTTTGCAAACCCTTGAGGAACACCACCTCTAAGATGGAGAGAGGCCCACACGCTAGGTAGATCAGTAAGAAGAGAGAAGTCGAACTAAAATATAAAATTTTGATGAAACTAAATTAATTAATTTTTCTTTTTAAAACCATATAATTTGGAATCCGAAAAAAAAAAGAAAAGGGCACATTTTTAGACTGTTTATGAAAATAAAATATTCTGTTCTCTTATTCTACAAAAGAAATTAATGTTTTAGGAGTAATTGTATCTATTATACGCACATGAAAGTACGAGGAGTTATGTGAAGAGAAAAAAGAAAAAATATATGAACTTTAAATACTTTTATATATGTGTAGGAGATATATTTCATTATTTCATACAACAAGAAAAATACTAATCATTTTATAAAATTCCCCTTACCAGAAAGATTTATTAAACTTTTTTTACCTCTACAATCTCCCATCTAAATATACCTTCCAGTTTGTTTATTTTACTTTATTTTTTTTAAGTTCAGTTTTTTGTTTTTTTATTCTTCTTAACACGGTATTTATTATAGAGTTGGCAAATCCAGCAGTAAAATAATAATATTAAAGTCCTAAAAGAAAATATTTTGTCTCTAATAATCCAACGAAGTCATAATTTAACATCTAATTTATTTTTAAAAAAAATTATATGTGAATTGATCTGTCATGTCCCACCACTTGTTTTAATGTGCCCTATATATAGACAGATTGTATGGATTGGTAAGTTGAAATACACAACTCTACCAACCCCATCTTGATAGGTTCACAAGTTTATTGGTTAGATTCAATCCATTTTGCCAAGTTAGTATGTGCTTATGTTATTCCTTTTAGCATGGTATTTAACAAAAAATACATTCCAATTGTAACACCATGTTACATACCAGTGCATTATTATTATGTATGATAGTAAGCGTACAATTAAATTGTGGCTAAACTTTTTCTTGCATTATTATTATGTATGATATTAAGCATACAATTAAATTGTGGCTAAACTTTTTCTTTTTAAACGTTGCATATTTTAATGACAATAATTACCATATTCAAATTAAACCAAAACTATAATTGCAATACAGTTACATTGCAGAATAATTAATTCGAGCTTAAATATATTGTACTAGTCTTGTTAGACACTACTATGGGGTTCCCACACTCCCCACAATAATATTTTCATTTTTCAGTAAACTGGGTAGCTTGTTGAGCTCTTTGCTGAAGCGAACTCCTCAGTGAGCACTTTGCTCCAGCTCACTGAAGCGAGCAAATTAATTCCCCAAGTAGTAGCTACTGTCCAGATGCTTTGTTTCCTCGCACTCAACTCACTGAAGCGATGGCAACAACGAGCTTGCTAGCTCAACTGCTCGCTTCAGCGAGCAGTTCCCTACCTCAGCTCAGCTTTTGTCTTGTTTTTAATTAGCTCGTTGGCCTCCTCGTTGAAGCAAGCGTTCCAGCGAGCAGAGCCAGAATTTGAACATATCCTTTTTATTTTATGGCCCATTCCTTATACAATTGGCACACCACTTGTGTACTTGATAGATATGGAATGGCAACCCATAGCCCAACAAACTAGGGTGCTCTTACATTCTCAACAATTTGCACCAATTCATTACACTTTCTTGTCTTTACCTGGTTTACAAGTTATGTATCATTAACTTAACCTTATTGTTTCTTTGACAATCATACCTAATTCATATACATTGCCAACAAAGTAAAAGCAAGGTACATATGTAATGGACTTCAAAACATGCACAATAGGCATCTATGACCTTCCATCATATATGCATGTAGTCCATGATTACATAATGTCCAAGTGCGTCAAATGGCTCAATTACATATATTGGAACTTAGCTACTCAAAATAACTATGATCAAGGTCTTTGGCTCCATCCAACCACATGAGGATATTGTTGGGTGGTTTGCTGATGGTGGGAAAATATAAGTTCTGATAGGGGACTTTCTTCTGTTCTTGCAGAACACAGATTCGTCCCTCAGATCCAACCCAAGTGTGCAAGTGCACGCATCAAGTAATAAAGGGAGTATTAATACCCAAATTATCGTTCCCACGAGGATAGAGTGCTAATTATTGTTTTATCACTGTTTATAAAGAGTGAAAATGAGAAGAAAAGTTAGTAAATGAACTGTCTGGTCAAACGTTCCCTACTGTCTTGACAACGTTCCTCAGGAATAGTAGGTTCAACCTGATGGCAAACTGTTGCTCGCTGCGTTATGTATGTGATCCTTCCTGTTTAGAAGAAGGTGAGATAACAATCATTGGAGTTTTTATAAGTACTAAATAAAATAAAATAAGATTACTAAAACAGAAATAATTATAATCAAGAGACAACAGGGTGGTGGTTAAAATAGTTTAACAGAAGGAACGGATTCACTGCTTCACTCTTAAAGGGGCTGTTTTCTCTGCTCAAGACTTAGTACCTTTTGGCTTTGTCCCAGTTTCTTTTCCTGCCAACTCTGATTCCTCAGCTCATAGTCTAGATGGCTCACAAGTTTCCATATTCCTATGGCTCCCTTGACTCCAACAGGTACTTAGTTCAGAACCTTAAAATGGACGAGTTGGCCCCTTATTCCTAAGGTGACCAGTAGCTTTTTTGCCATGACATCTACCTTCCCCCAATGGCTAAGCTGTCTGAAATCCCTTCCTTATGGAAGTTTCTTTCTCAGTATGTACCCAATTTCCATTGGCGCACAATGAATATAGCTTACTTAGCCAAAGAAATACAAAAAGCTTCGGTCAAGAGTTTTGAAAACAGTTCTTTAAGAGTTTTACAGTTTACCCGTTCCACAGATAGTTCAGCTCATGGCTGATAGTTTAAACATAATTATTCTCAACTGAGATCACATAGACCCGAGATTCAGTCAAGAGATAACGATTGGAACGAAGAGAAAAACACTTATATTAATTTAAAAGACAGTTTACAAAAAGAAACAGAAAATGGAGAAAGATGGGTATTTGCTCGTGAGGAGTCTTGATGGTTGTTTACAGAGAAAGGAAGAGGAGTTGTCGCTTAACTATAGTTACAACTGAAAATTAAACTAAGTTACTAACTACTACTAAGTGATCTCTTCCTTTAGGACTGCAAACCCTCCAGGATTCGATGATGTTTTTGTGTGAGGGAGGTCCTATTTATAGCTGGAAGAGGAATGGCAAGACTGTAATTCTCTTGGAGCTAGTTGCTTGAATGAGGGGACGGGACTGTGGCAGCAGAGTGTGAAGCTTGCGTGAATTGCTGAATAGAACATGATTTGGTGATGATTAGCCGTTGTTTGCAAGCCTTCCTATGTTTTGCTTCTGTTTTCAGCCAATGAGAACTCTTGATTCTCTGCTCTTCACGTTTCCAGCTGCTCAGTTGGTGCACCGCCTTGCTTTTTAGAAGTCTTTAACTCTACGTTACCTGCAAAGTGTACAGAAGCATTAAATGAATGGAGCAGGTGCATTAAATGCGTCTTAGTCTGTTCCCCTTTTAATATATTTTAAAGGAATACGTTACCATCCGTTCCCCCACTGTGTTTTTGTCACAAATGTGTAAAACACGTGATTTTCATGCTGAAGTTGCTCATCAGATGAGGGAACGTATGGTATTTTGCCATCAAAATGGGCTTAGATGAGAACGAATTTACGTCCCATCAGATATCAAAGGAGAGTGATCATAGGCTAAGTCCACCAAAATAAATCATGTTATATCAATGAGCTAGAAAATGTAAGTCATATACATGTTCATCTAACATATACATAGGATATCTCAAAATATATCGTAATCATGCAATCTATTGTGGCCTCCTACCAATAGATGCTTCAACATCATTTGTACCTGAAAAAGGTCCCCAAAATGCGGGGTGAGATAAATATCTCAGTAAACTAGGGGTCCTTGGAGGACTTCTCCACCTCAAAGTTTACTTCAGACAACAAGCAATAAATAGCATAATCATGAATGTATGTATGCATGCAAAGTGTGTAACTAACTGTCCAATATTCTTGCTAGTGCCTCGCATCGTTTATAGAAAACAAACAACAGTGTCCTAGCCATCCCTCGGGGTAATCATACCTTAAACAGGACACTTAAGATAAAATAATCCTAAGGCCAGAGAACAATGTATGAATTATGCAACTGTGCAACATATCGCATGAATTACGCAAGAACGGTCTTGTCACATACACGTGTAAGAATCCCTCTTACACCATATAACAAGCATCACACAACATGCATTATATTCAATCTATTGCACAGCCATATAAACCAAAACCCACACGTGTTTGGTGGAACAGTCAATGGATAAATCCCAAGGTTCGAAAGCTTACTTGTAAAAGCTTTCCACCAAATGCTTGCTCCAAGCATCAAAATTCCACACCAAAGGTTTATTCACAATTCACACCTAATCACAAGGTGAACTTGCAACAGTTGCTAACAAACAATCAAGTTAAATTCCAAGCTAGTGAACATACACCTATTCATAAACACACTAGATAATTCACACCCAATCCATGGAGGTCATGAACTTACCTAGGCTTGAAATCATTCAAGTCTCAAAATCAAGCTCCATTGGCTCCTCCAATGCTTGATCGATTAATGATGCTCCACAAGTCTCAATCCTAGAAACACCATGGACACAATCAATACAACCCATTTGCATTACCTGAGACACAAGCAACATCAACAAATAGGCATGCATAATTTCAAAAATGTGATAGGTGACTCAAATGATTTTCTAAACATATTTTCACCAATTAAATCTCATCCTTAGCATATCTCCCAACATACACTAAGCCTCAATCATACTCCAGTATACCCAATCAACCCACATTCCAACAAAACCCTATCTTTGTATTTTTACATAAAACACAAAGAGGTCAAGGATTCTTACCATAAATAGGTCCATAATGGCTGAAGGAATGTCTTCCAACTCCTAATGAGACAACGCACCACCCCAAGCTCTTTGGACAACTCAAAAACTCCACTTTCTCCAAGGGATTTCTCACTACACAAGGCTTTAGAATGGATTATTGGTTTAGGGTTATGTTCACTCAAGATTTCTAAGCAACTTTGCTTCCAACCGTTTTTGATTTCATCAAGCAACAAGGAACTTAGGTTTTGGGAGCTCAAATCTGCCCATTAATGGTGTTGCCTTCAGTGGTCGAGAATAGTGAGTGTTTGGTGAGGAGAAAGAGTGACTTAAGTGGGTGTTTTAAAATTTTCTCACTCCTTGCTTGGCTCCTCGCTTTAGTGTACTACACCAACGAGCAATTATAACGCTCGTTGAATAGCTCACTTTAGCGAGCTCTCCAGCGAGGAGTGGCTCATAGGGACCTTTTGCATAAAAGCTTAATTTCCCACTTACTCCCACTTGACCATTTTAAAAGTGAGCTCTCTTCGTAAACAACACTCCACATCGATTTAACTAAGTATTCCATTTAATTTATCCACAAGTGCATGATTAACATATAATCTAATTTGATTAAGCCTCTCACTTAATTACTGTACATTATGCATGATTAAATAATTAATCCAATGCAATTAGATAATTTACAATTTAGGGTTATTATACTAATACCCAGACATGTTTATTTTATTAAAAAGCAAATATATATATTGAAAATCAAAGGAAATTGGAAGAGAAACTTATTACTACACGCTGAAGGAACAACCCCTTCCAATCTTATAATTTTGTTATTCAACAAAATAATATCATGCTATTTATTTTGTTATTTTTTAATAAAATAAAATTTTATAATTTCTTTTTTTTTTTCACAATATTCTCTCTTCTCAACTAGCAAACACAATTTTTTTTTTTGATAAAACAAACACATTTTTTTAACTTCTAAACTCTTTCATCGCTATCGCTCTCCTCTCCTCCACCAAATTTCACTATTCTTCTACTCCTTTCTTATTTTTTTAACATCAATTGCTCACCATCGACTCTTATGACTTTTACAGCTGATAGTAAATCCTTATTTTTTGCACATTTTATTATTTTTTGTCTCATTGACAAAATTGTCTCTTTTCAAAACTTTCATTAAAAGTAATATATTGATTGACTTATGGGTGTTGTATGCATCTACATATATTGTTCTTATTTGTTGGGCATGTGTTTTTGAGTGTGATTTTTTTATTTGTTTTTCTTTCTTTATTTAATTATTTTGTATTGGAAAATTCTTTTTATTAGTCTAATTTGGTTGGCTTTCATTTGTTTGGTAGTTGCTTCTTTTGTGTTTAAATATCATGGTTGTTTATTCTTTCAATAAATACTTTTGTGCTCAATATTATACACATGCATGTTTATGTACGCGTGCATATATAAACTTTTAATTTATTTAAAATTTAATTTTATAATTAAAAATCGATAAAATACAATTCAATTCTATTTATTGTTTTGTACTTTTAACAACATAGTTAAATTGTTAATATTTTGAGTGTGTTCAACAATTGCATAAGTTAATTGTAACCTATAATTTATAAAGTGTAATATGTTAATTTTAAAAGGCTTACTAGGTTAAGCCAAACCTTGTAATTTTTTAAAAATAAGTCAAGTAAAGCGTATAATTTTGCTTGTTTCATATTAACAAGTCAAGTCAGACTTGAAATAATTTATACAGACCTAATCTATTTAAGTTAAAGTTTGGCTTGTCACAGTTCATTTACACCTCTAACTATATAGTTACAAGTTCACCTTAAATATTCTTCATTATTATTTAGCTTATCTCTAATTACAACTGTTTTTAGTCACTGCTCGCCTTCTCACTTTATAATTTTCTTTTTGTAGAATTCCTCACTTTAAAGCAATATACTCTAATTTTCTTTCTCACTATAATTTTTTTAGTAGCTTTGTCCAAATTTAACTGCCCGTGCTTATTTTTTTTTCGTCATATAATTTAGGTGAAACTATTTTCTAGTTATGTACTTTTGTATAAGAATTCCTTCTATTTCTGATGTTTTCATTTTTTTTATTATCCTTGGTGAAAATTTCGGGTAATATAGTACACTCATTGCTTCTTAGTGGCACAGAACTGGTATAAGAACCGGCTGATATATTCATAGAAAAAGAAATGATAAAAAGACAAGAACAATTGAGATAAATTTAGATATTAATGATTTTTTTTCCTAATCATGAATGTTATTTTTACACTTGGTTTACATTTTTTTTATAAAAGAAAAATAATAAAATTTTCTCTTTGCAGCAACCAGATCACGATGTCATAGCGAAAAATTAAAAGATTAAAAATAATAGAGTCGTCACCAAAGTTTATTTGGAAAAATATTAGGAAAAATCCCTTTTATTAAAGAAAATTGGTCTTTGAAAACATAAATTGATTCAGAGTCAATTATTGGTAGGGAGGGTGTTAGCTCCCTACGTCGTCCGTTTTAAAAAATGATTACCTTATATTAATTGTAACGGGTTTAATGAAGAAAGAAGACCCACAACCCATGTCAACCAGAAGCGTAAGAGTGACTAACAAACCATCCCACTTGAATGATTTTATTTTGGGCTGAGAATGCCAGATAGCCCAATAGGAGGCACTCTTTTATTGTAATATTGTCTTTAATTACCACCGTTTAGACTTTCAGTCCACATATCCATTAGTTGTATTACAAATAGCCTATGAGGCCAAGAAAAGGATAACAGAAAATTCAGCAATCTCTCTCTCTTGTCTCTCTCAACCCTATCTTCTCCTTGCTTTTACACTGATACAACAAACCCTGTTACATTTGGTGCTTTCATTGTCTAATGGCTGAAAATACCAGACTCAGGGACCTCATAAATCAAGTCACTGCTCATGAACAACAATTATCCACTCTGGAAAGATCCATTGACCACCGTCTAGAAACGTCTGAGCGGTTACACGCGCACCGGTTAGATGAATTCAACCGACAACTTCAAGAGGTGTTCGGGTTACTCCAAAATATGCAGCTCCAAATGACTACGCTGACCGCAAACCCACAACCTGGCATTCTGGGTGCTTCACCCTCACGACCACAACCACCAGCTCGATCCATGAAAATAGATTTTCCCCGCTTTGGATCTGGAGATCCAGGCCCCTGGCTTTTTGCCGTAGACAGGTATTTTCGTTACCATCAGATTCCTGAAATGGACCGACTCGATCTAGTTTGCTTTAATTTGGATATGCCAGCTGCTTGTTGGTTTGAAGCACAGTTTGCTAACGGCCAGCTACCTGATTGGCAATCCTTCGTCCTGGCTATTAATCAACGCTTTGGACCATCAGAATTTGAAGATCCATTGGGATCTCTGGCCAAACTGCAACAATTCGGATCTGTGATTGAGTTTCAAACGGCATTTGAGTTGATAGCACGCAGGGTGACAGATCTGACCCCTGTAATGCGTAAGAGCCTCTTCATCGCGGGCCTGAAACCACAGCTCCGTCGAGCAGTCTTGGTTCATCGACCTATTGACATGACCTCTGCATTTTCTTTTGCAAAAATTTATGAAGATCAATTTGCCGAAGCTCGTGTAGCTAAACCATGGGTCCCACGTACTACTCAGTCCCCACAACCCATAGCAGCTCCACCAATTACTATCGTTTCCCCTTCCAATTATTTTAAACCCAACCCATCCTTACCACCCATACCCATTAAACGATTGTCACCAGCAGAAATGCAAGTTCGCCGTGACAAGAATTTATGCTATAATTGTGATGAGATTTTTGTGCGAGGTCACAAATGCAAAGGCAGAGCCACTCTATTGTACCTGGAAGGAACTGATGATGAACCACCTGATATACCACCAGACCACACGCTTGCCCATACTGTTGAAGAGGTTGAACCACCTTCCCAAGAGGTTCCGCATGAAATTAGTTTTAATGCGTTATTTGGTCACCAATCCTCTAATTCCTTCAGGTTGCAAGGTACAATTTATGGCCAACCAGTCCAACTGTTGATTGATGGAGGTAGTACTCATAACTTTATCACTTCTCGTATGGCTTCTCATTTTCATCTAACTTTACATGTTATCTCCCCTTTTAAGGTTAGGGTTGGAAATGGAGATGCATTATTATGTTCTGCTTCTTGTAATTCTATCCCTGTTAATATTCAATCTCACGTGTTCACCATTGACGTTTATGTTATTGACTTAAAGGGGGCTGATATTGTAATGGGGGTGCAATGGTTATCCACATTGGGACCAATTGTTACAGACTATGCTGCACTAACAATGTCCTTTGTTCACAACAATACACAGGTTTTACTCCAAGGGGCAGTAAACACCCACCCTAGCCACATAAGCTCCTCCCAACTACATAAGCTCATGGTTCATAACTCCGTATCATCCTGTTTGATGTGCTTCACTACTCAATCAGTGGAACACGTAGGCAATAGTGGGCTGAATGACGCTATCCCAGGCTTAAGTCAGCTACTCCATGAATTTGCTGATGTGTTTTTAGAACCAACCTCTCTTCCACCCGACAGAGAGTATAATCATCACATACACTTACTGCCCAATTCCAAGCCTGTGCAAGTTCGTCCTTATCGCTATCCTCATTGTCAAAAGAATGAGATTGAGAAGTTTGTGACTGATATGCTGAAAACGGGGGTGATTCAGAACAGCCGCTCTGCCTTCAGTTCACCAGTACTACTAGTTAAAAAGAAAGATGGCACGTGGCGTTTCTGTGTGGACTACCGAGCTCTTAATGCAATCACGGTGCAAGACAAGTTCCCCATCCCCACCATAGATGAGCTGTTAGATGAGTTACATGGAGCCACTATTTTTTCCAAGTTGGACTTACGCTCCAGTTACCATCAGGTCAGAATGCACTCGGATGATGTGCACAAAACAACATTTCGCACACACCATGGTCACTTTGAATTTCTTGTAATGCCATTTGGTTTATCTAACGCCCCATCTACATTTCAGGCCACCATGAATACCATCTTCGCAGCATACTTACGGAGATTTGTAGTCATTTTTTTTATGACATTCTAATTTACAGCTCCTCCCCAGCTCAACACATCGAACATTTGTTGGCGGTTTTAAGCACCTTACGGACTCACTCCTTATTTGCAAAACAAGAAAAGTGTTCCTTCGGCCGTAGGGAAATTCCTTATTTGGGCCATATAATCAAAGGAGACGGAGTTGCCTCTGATCCAGACAAATTACAGGCCATTGTTGATTGGCCCATTCCCTCTAACACCACACATGTGCGAGCTTTTTTGGGCATTTCAGGGTATTACAAAAAATTTATCCAGAAATACGCCTATATTGCAAGTCCCCTCACTGATTTATTATCCTGAACGGGTTTTAGTTGGACGCCTGAAGCTGACAGAGCCTTCCGTGAGCTTAAAAACTGCCTTATCACTGCTCCCATTCTGGTGTTACCGGACTTTTCGCAGCCGTTAGTCGTTGAAATCGATGCTTCCGGGGTTGGCATAGGTGCCGTACTATTACAGAGTGAAAAACCTATAGCCTTTTACAGCCGCAAGCTCTCTCCGGCAATGCAACGACAGTCGATTTACGTATGCGAAATGTTTGCAATTACATCAGCCATCAGTAAATGGCGTCAGTATCTCATTGGATCCCCATTTACGATCTGCACTGATCATAGAATCTTGCACAACTTAATGGGTCAAGTCATACAAACCCCTGAGCAACAACAATTTTTGTCAAAATTGTTGGGCTTCAATTATACCATTGTTTACAAGACCGGAAAGACCAACACAGTGGCCGACGGTCTCTCACGAATACCTACGGGGGAAGTCCACCATCAACCTCCCAGTGCATGGCCATGTCTGGCCCAGTACTGAATCATACAAATGTTTTACAGTCCGAGTACAAAAAATATCCCTACACTACTGTCCTTTTACAAGAAATTCAGAAAGCTCCTAATTCTATGCCTGACTGGAGACTCCGCAATGGGTTGCTCTTCCATCGTCATCGCATCTATATTCCAGCACAATCCTCACTGATTGCTATCATACTTCATGAGTACCATGCGTCGGTTCAAGGTGGACACTCAGGGATCCAAGCTACCCTGCAAAGAATCACTAGAAATTTCACTTGGAAGGGGATACGCAAGGACATCAAAAATTACATACAGCAATGTGAAATTTGTCAGAAATTGAAACCGCCCAACCACTCCCCTTTTGGACTACTCCAACCATTACAAATACCAGAGACATTATGGGCTCACCTGAGCATGGACTTTATCACACACTTGCCTATGTCGGCTGGGTTCACGGCTGTCATGGTCGTTGTTGATCGGTTTTCAAAGGCAGCTCATTTCATTCCCCTACCCACACATTACTCCGCGTCCAAAGTCGCTCAGTTGATTTGGGATTTTGTGGGCAAGCTCCATGGTTTGCCGGAGTCCATCGTGTCTGACCGTGACCCAATCTTCCTCAGCGATTTTTGGCGCTCACTGTTCAAGCTGTAAGGCACAAAACTCCATTTTAGTTCCAGTTATCACCCACAGTCAAATGGCCAAACAGAGAGAGTTAATAGGTGCTTAGAAAATTACCTCCGAGCTTTTTCACACAGTCACCCTTCGTCCTGGTCCAAATTTCTCAGCTTGGCAGATGACCATTACAACACGTCCTTTCACTCGTCAACAGGGATCACACCATACCAAGCTATGTTCGGAAGAACCCCACCGAACCTGTTGGCCTACTGTCTCGGATCTTCCGCTAATGAAGCTGTTGATTCCACCCTCAGCGACATAATGTCTCTCATGCAAACATTAAAAGAAAATTTGGTCCGATCCCAACAAGTGATGAAAGCTCAAGCGGATAAAAAAAGAAAAGTTTGGAACTTTACCGTAGGGGATCTGGTACTCGTCCGTCTACAGCCGTACAGGCAACTGTCCGTGAGTCGCAGGTCATCACAGAAATTGGCCTTGAGGTACTACGGCCCGTTCGTAGTAGAAGAACGAGTGGGCTCGGTGGCGTATCGCCTTCAACTACCTTCAACAGCACGGATCCACCCAGTGTTTCACGTGTCCTTACTCCGGCCATTCCGATCAACTCAACCCTTCAAGATCCATGCTTTCCCACCCACAACAGCGGAAAACCCTCTTAAGCACACACCTTTGGCTATCGTTGGGTCTAGGAATATTTGGAGGAGAGGTGTCTTAGTTCCTCATATTTTAGTCCAATGGTCAGATCTACCACCAGAGGAATCGACATGGGAAGACGAATCAGAGTTATCTGTGACAGACCTTCCTCACAACAAAGGGGACGAATATGGGCGGAACTCTAACCTTGGCCACTCAGAGCGAAAGGAAACACAGAACCAGACGCGCAACCATGGAGAGAGCGCAGTCGTAACAGGGGAAACAAAGAAATCAGAGGGAGACACTACAAGCTTTGAAAATGAACACTATGACCCTAAGCTTCACGCAACCCCACTTTTAGCTGACAAAGCCTGCTCCTCGTCAAGTCCCCAGTTCCCACATTCAACGGCTAAGATACAAGCCCCTATGTCGATGCAATCCTCACCATCTGTTCATAGTGGATCACAGCTGGCAGCCAACGACTCTCAAAATCCAACGCATCAGATTGCATTGGTTTCAAACAAAGCAGCTCCACCGTCCAAAGTGTGCTCCGCCTATCCTCCACTACCAGCTACTCAATCGTTGCCACCCTTTAGCCCCACTGTTGGGCCACACGCTATGTTAGTTCCTTCACAGCAGCCCACGTTTGCTCCAAAACTCAGCCTTGAGGACAAGTCTGTTGTGGGAGGGCGGAGTGATGTAACGGGTTTAATGAAGAAAGAAGACCCACAACCCATGTCAACCAGAAGCGGAAGAGTGACTAACAAACCATCCCACTTGAATGATTTTATTTTGGGCTGAGAATGCCAGATAGCCCAATAGGAGGCACTCTTTTATTGTAATATTGTCTTTAATTACCACCGTTTAGACTTTCAGTCCACATATCCATTAGTTGTATTACAAATAGCCTATGAGGCCAAGAAAAGGATAACAGAAAATTCAACAATCTCTCTCTCTTGTCTCTCTCTCAACCCTATCTTCTCCTTGCTTTTACACTGATACAACGAACCCTGTTACATTAATTGTGCAATTATTGATAAAATTTTAAATATTTAATTCATCCTAAAGAATTAAAAAAAATTGATTAAAGAAAATTTATTTTTATGCTTGACAGGAAGGGTCTCGCTCCAACCTCTCCCTCGGTGTAATAGAAAACTCAAAGCTACGTCGTTCTGTAAAAAAATATTTGTTTGTTGTTTAATTTTAATTTTAATTTTTGAAATTAACTCTTAGAAAGATCATTAATTATTGAAAAAAAAGAATCCATCGTTGCTCAAAATTTAAAGGCAACACGGCTACATGTAAATTCTTATTAAGGTTACAACACTTGAGGATGGTGAACCATACAATCAACGTTGTAAATTGTTTCTAGGATATTTCAGAATAAATCCATTAGAAAGATAATTTTGATTTTTTTTTGAAATCATGGAAGAGAATATTTTATTTAGAAAATGAATCTATATTGCAGGGGTATAAGATAACACAGCTATACATGTACCCTTACGAAAGACACAACACTTAAGAATAGCGAGCCATATAATGAATGTTACACATCGTTGCGTAGATATTTTAGAAAATATATATTGGATAGATAACTTTATTTCGGAATCTTGAGAGAAAATATTTTATTTAAAAAATGATTCCATATTGCACAGGATATAAAATAATATAGCTATACGTGTACTTATATAATATTTACAACACTTGAGGATGAATAATTATACAATCAATGTGTAAATCACTGCGTGGATTGAAAAAATTTCATTGTTCATTTATATTTTGAAAATATTTGATCACACTGGCAAAAATATATCACGAAGACAAACAAGCAAAGCGTAATAAACAGACTATAAATTATTTTTCGTTTCTTTGTGTTTTTATTTTATTTTATTTTATTATTATTACTTTTATTATTATTTTGTAATTTCATAAATAAAAAGAACACCTAAACAATGTAAGCAGGATCCTAAACAAAATATAAGGAGGAACGTAAACTTATGCTAGTATTCTTTTCCGAGGTAGGATATTCCTACTACCTATTTTTTCTACTACCACTTTAATCACCATTGGATTCAAAAGTTTTTTTTTTCTCTCTCTTCATTCAACTTTTCCTTTAATCAAATGGTGATTAGAGTGGTAGTGAAGTGGTAGTAGAAAAAATAGGTAGTTAGAATATCCTAGCTCTTCTTTTCCTTTCAAATTTGTTTTATTCTTTGACTTCTTAATTTTTAGAAATTTTACACTCAAGTTTATTTTTACCTAAACAAACTATACTTGACCAAATTTAAAGAAAAAAACAAAAGAAACCGATCAATTCACAGTGCTCTTCTTTTCAAATTTTCTTTTCTCTTTTTTTTTATTCAAAATGATTTAATTCCATCAAATCAAAAAGAAAAAAACACAAGGCTAACCCAAAGGTGTAACTCATTTGGTAAGTGGATTGAGCTCAAAGGGTCAGACTCCTGTGGCCGATGAGGTCACATGTCCGACGCCTAAGAGAGTCACTTTGGGGCAAGTGGTGATAACCCTCGCATTCCAAGCTAAAAAAAAATGCAAGGCTAGTTATGTAGTTATGTTAGAGTCAAGGATATAACTGAGCTCTTCATTGCAATATTCCTGCACAATTATTAAATTATTAAACTTTTCAAGGGTTCGATGTTTGTCATTTTAAATGATATAAATTATGTCATTTTACGAGAGAGATAGACACAGAAAAATAGAAATCATGAGAGAGAGAGAAAGTGGGTGATTTATTTTAATTTAAAATTTAAATAAATTTTTTTTGCTGTGTCTCTCTCTCTCTCTAAAAGAACAGAGTGTTATGTCATTTAAAATGACAAACACTTTTCTCCTCTTTATTCAAATGCCATTTTATTTCTTTTCTTTTCTCAGAGGAAGAAAATTTTACATGGTTGGAAACTTGTTTGCTGGTTCTATTTGAGTTGGAACTATATATAAAATACAGTTACAATTATGTGGTGGGAATTTAATATTGTTAATTACCAAGAGACAAAAAGTATTCATTGTAATCCTTGTGTCAACTACACGAAGGAGATTTCATTTATATATTAAACCAAATAAGAAATACAACGACATATACACAATGTGGGACTTCTATACTATTTACAGCAACACTCACCCTCAAGCTGGAGCATATAGATCGTATGCACCAAGCTTGTTACATATCTGGTCTATCATAGGTCCTCTCAAAGACTTAGTGAATACATCAGCTAATTGATCATTGGAGTTGACAAAACGAGTGACTATATCTCCTGAGAGAACCTTTTCTCTAAGGAGATGACAATCTATCTCAATGTGCTTAGTCCTTTCATGAAACACTGGATTTGAAGCAATATGCAAAGCAGCTTGATTATCACAAATGAGAGATACTGGGCCAGTGTCTCCAAACTTGAGCTCTTTCAGTAGTTGTTTTAACCAGATGAGTTCACGGGTAGCTGTGGCCATGGAGCGATATTCTGCTTCAGCACTTGATCTAGCAACTACACTTTGTTTCTTAGTTCTCCAGGAAATCAAGTTATCTCTAACGAATACACAATACCCAGAGGTGGATCTTCTATCAATAGGAGAAGCTGCCCAATCAGCATCTGAGTATCCTACAACTCTGGTATGACCTTTGTTTTCATAGAGAAGACCTTTGCCAGGAGCAGTCTTAATGTACTTGAGGATACAAATTACTGCATTCCAGTGATCTTCACAGGGAGAATTCAAGAACTGACTTACTACACTGACTGCAAAGGAAATGTCTGGTCGAGTAACTGTGAGATAGTTTATTTTCCCAACCAATCTTCTATACCTTTCTCGATCAGAAAATAGCTCCCCATGATTTGGCAAAAGCTTGACATTTGGATCCATAGGAGTATCGACGGGCTTAGCATTCAACAGTGTTGTCTCCTCAAGAATATCCATAGCATATTTTCTCTGTGATAGTACAATGCCATCTTTGGATTGGGCCACTTCTATCCCTAAGAAATATCGGAGTCTTCCAAGGTCCTTTGTTTGAAAATGATGGCACAAATGTTGTTTTATCTGAGTTATGCCATGAGTATCATTACCTGTAATGACGATATCATCAACATATACTACCAAATAAATAGAACCTGAATCAGAGTGTCTATAAAAGACTGAGTGATCAGTCTCACTTCGAGTCATGCCAAACTGCTGTACAACAGTGTTAAACCTTCCAAACCAAGCCCGAGGAGACTGCTTGAGACCATACAAGGATTTCTAGAGACGACAAACTAGGTTAGACTCCCCCTGAGCAACAAACCCATGAGGTTGCTCCATATAAACCTTTTCCCGCAGATCACCATGGAGGAAAGCATTCTTTATGTCCAGCTGATACATAGGCCAGTGATGAATGGTTG